ACCTGTTCCTGTCGAGTTGCCGTGTCAACATCGCTTCGTGAACGAAGACGAAAGTTGTTCATGTCAAGAGAAGTACGTAGAGGAGACATGGCGTGCGTGGAGATGGGCGTTGCCATAGCCTGCGGGGATTGTGCAACAGGCGTGGATGAAAGGGGCGACCGTTCAATCACAGTCAGTGATGGCCGGCCGCTGAGTTGACCATCAGACGAGCGATGTTGATGTAGACTCGACGCTGCATTAACCGAACGAGGTCCAGTTCCCGAGGCTGTCCAGCCGGTAGCGATTCGCAGTGTTGGCTGAGCGTCTGACAATGAACCGGCACGTTGGGTAATGGGAATAGGAGCTGATGGTTTCTGCACGAAGGGCGATTTCACTTGAGATTGAGGAGGTGTATACCCTTGGAAGACCGAATCAGGAAGATCGTCGTCCTCAGTTATTGTGGTTGGAGAAGTGTCACGCTGGTCGAGCGAGGCGAGCGAGTTGGCATATGATATCAGGGGAGGAGTGGAAGTCCTTGGTGTTTGCTGGAAAGGATGCACGAAGGATCCGTTGCGGCCGCTGGCAGACGTGGCCAGGGATATATGAGAGGCGTTGCTTGTCGATCGCGTGTGGGAAGGATTGTTGACGTTGGAGGAAGAAGGCAAGCCGGATGTGGAGGTGCTGCTGAATGTTGACGAAGGTTGAATCGAGTTGAGAGTTGACAAGTCGGTGGCCGATAAGGCGAAGCTCACATCTCGCGTGGAGCGACAATTGGCGGAGGGGTATATTTGATGAACCGACGGCTCCTCGTCGATATATGCAGGTTCCGTATATCCCAGCTGCGGCGAAGGCTGATCCTCCCAGCCTCGATCAAGATCAAGAGAGTTCTTCTCTGAAAGTGAGGAGGAGTGGAATTTCTTCAAAATAGGCCGGACGGAGCCTCGTGTGCGAGTTTTTGAGAACTTGCCGTGGTGGCCCAGGCTCGTTGGTTGGAAAGATGTGGTTGCCATAGATGGAAAACTAGCGGTTGACTCGTGAGCGGGTTAGTCCAGGTCGGCAGTCGTGGAAGCGGCGCGAGGCAGTAGTGAAATGGTGTTTTGCAAGGTGAGCGCAAAGTGAGAGGAGACGAGTCGGTGACCCCTCTGAAGGCGCCTTTCCCCAATCAACAAACCCACGGGCCGGATGAGGTTGGCACCTGGAGATACATCTGGCGAGGAAGTGCGGCAACTAAGACAATGGCGAACAACAAAGTCGAGGCGACCGGGAGGCCGGGATGCGAGTGTTTGCAGCGCAAGGCCTTGGCCAAAATAGCAGACTGCTCTTGGCGGCGACACCGGGTAGGGGAGGAGAACAGGGGAGTTGGCGAGATTGAAATTGACTGTGGAGGAAGACGGTGAGACAAGGCCAGTATTAATCAGAGCGGCAGTACGTACGCAAGTGCTGGGAGGCGGAGGTGGAGGCTGAGCGCGTGCGGGATGATTGCCCATCACAGCCCGTCCATTCCAGAACGACTACGGCCGCTTTCGAAGTTAGAGCGGTTGTTTTGCTGAGTTAGTTGATGGACAGGGGTACATGCCCAGGCCACCCAGTGGGCCCAGCACGTAGCGGCGGCAACCAGCCAGACTGGGCGGATGAACCTACCCACAAGGCTTTCATTTCCAAGTTGTGGCGGGCGGTCAGGCTGCCAGTCCCCTGCTGCCGTGCGGTCGCGGGGGCGCGCCACTGCCTTGGTGCGTACGTCCCTGGGCAGCGCTGGGGAGAGCACTTGGCGGTATGCAATTCATTTGCAGGCATCGTCGGTGCTTGCCTCCCACCAGCGCCTGCCCCTAAATTAGATGTGTGCCGGTTGCCTGATACCTCCGCCGAATCACCGCATCAGAGAGCGTCCAATTTCGGCCTCGACATGCTCCCGTCGAGGCCTATTTCACGCAGCCATGGTCAGATTTCCCGCCTAAAGGACCGATCCAGACAATGTTCAGACTTTGGTCTTAGGAGGGCTTGGCTGCCCCACGGCCACGAAGGTTTCTAGGCCGCATTCAGCCTCCAGGTGTTGCGTTTCCACGAGTCTCGGCTACTGAACCGCGGTCCAACAGGGATGACACCAATCAGTGATGATAGCCATCACATACCTATCTCTCGCTCGCTCGCCCAGAACGAGAGAACCCAGTCCTTACGCAAGCGACCTCCGCGTATTACGACGTGCAACTGCGACGCTGCTGCGTGAGGTCGGTCATCCAGCTGAATCCTTCGATGCTATAGTCTTAGCCTGCTATTGATTGCTAGTTGCTGGATGCATGTGAATCAGCACCCAGGGACCCGGTATCAAAGGTAATTAATAAATAGTACGGCTCTTGACATACATATTACATGCACACACGGAGGCATAGGCATTAGTACATTAATAGCCCGTCTGGATGGAGGCATCTTGTGCTCAGTAATAGTGCTCAGTAATAGCGCACCCCACTTGCTTGCGCACGATTCATCCACCAGCCCAATGCTCGGGGCTTCCGATTCGATCAAGGCGTCCTCTTGCGCACCCAAGATGTGCAGATGCAAGATTCCCTATTGAAATAGTAACATTGATTTGCGGGACTTAGCTCTCCGGGTCGAGATATGTGATTTCCTGCTTTATGCCTATCGCGTCCAACCTCAGAAGCACCTCCCCCAGACAAAGACGAGCACAGTCACCAGCATGCTGTTTTCAGCTGAGACCTCCCGCGCCACCTCCACGTCCGACAAACCCCTCCATTCCTCCGAATGCGTGGCCCACCTTGCCTTGCCACATTCTCGCTTCCCCTCGGCCCTATCCTAAAGCCAATGGGAGGCCATATTGTTAGCGCCAGGTGGTGATGACTGTCGAATGGGGCATGCGCATAGCTCCAGCATTGGATGGCTCCTCCGGCTCAGCTTCGCCCTGACCGGATGCCAGCAATCACTGCTGTGTATGCAACTGCAATCCACACTGCAAGCAAGGTGTCTCTGCGACGTCTTGAAATGCGACAAAATTATCAAGGGAAAAGCAGGCAAAAAGCCCCTTTCCCCGCTCGTTTGTTCTCTCACCGCTGGTCTCCTGCATTGGCCCTGCTGTGTGATCCCAGATCTGGCCCGGCCTGCATGACGAGATGGACGAGTTCGCAAGCGTCCCCTCCACATCTCGAGGGATCCCTTATCTAAGGTATACACTATTTGATAGAGAGGGGGTGAGCAAGTAACTGTCTACGGCTAGTTGGTTGGCCGGCTTGCCCATTTCCGCCCTTCCCAACAGTCCTGCTCACCTTGGGGTCAGGTGTGCTGCAGCGGTGACTAGATTAGCCTATCGCCAGCGGTATTTATCTTAAGACCTGGCCCCGCGCCATTGTCGGTCGGTGTATGCACCCATGGCTGCAGTATGGCCCCCCGTTCTGGTGGCTTTTTGCCGATCCCAGAGCCTCGGCCTCTCCCTCCCCGCCCACCGTCTCCGCCAAAGCCAACAGGTTCGGCCGGACCGGCACCGACATTCTCGGGCAGCCTAGTACTTGAGCCTCTAGAACATCGTGCTGGACCTCGAGTCAATAGTCGGCCAATTCATCTTTCAGCTCCGGAGCATAGCTGTTGGTTCTGGCCTTTTCACCTGGTGAGGCGATCGTCCACCTCGAGCCAGATGCTGCAACGTCACGCGCAGACACCCATGCATGTCTGACCAAGTGCCTCCATGCATATATGGGTACATACGATCCTGAGACAGCCTGCTCAGTGAGGGCTTTCACCTCGCGATGAAGATAGCCCTGATCTGGATGCGGTAAATTCGAAGCCCCGAGGGCCCTAACCCCGGTGAAGTTGCGATTCACGCGGATGGCCGACCGGCCAATCGGTTAACCAGGCTCACAGCTCATCTCGCAAATCCGTGCCACCATTTGAAACCTGTTCCCTGCTGTTCATGTGGAGATGTCTGTTGAGATGCATACTCCGCGAGCCGATCACTCCTCCATACTCACTGCATCACGTGTACCCACAGTGTCAAAGGGCTTGATGCTTAATCCTGCTTCCAAGGATTATCGTGCACGTAATGATGAGCATATATCTCATTGCCTTCAGTCGGTTTGGTTGATGGGTTAGTTCTTTCTCCGTTCTTGGCACGGGCACTGCGCTCCGAAGCGAGCAATCCCTCCTGGATCAGCAACTTGTGCGCGTGTTTTGACATCACAGGCAGCCTCTGGGGGAGATCGTCCATGCTTGTCTTTATCTTGTCGTTGAGACTTTGCAGCTACCGCTGCCAATCAGCTTGCCGCACACCCTATACATGATAGTACTTGGGAGTCTTGGACAGATGTATTGTGGACAAACCCCCTCCCCAACTCCTTCTCCTGCAGAGTCTCATCTACGGTGGGATGGGGCGTGTCGAAAGGAATGATCGTCTGGTGGCAGGACCGACTTCCGTCATCCTCGCTAGGCAACGAGATATGATGTGCTTTCCAGATGTCTTGTAGACATACCCCCAGACCCTCTCGTAGTAGAGTATCATCTGCAGTGGCATCGTACGTGTCAACAAGAGTGATCGTCTAGAGACACAAATTACGCAGAAACTGGAACTTTTGGTTTGGGTTTGTGCTTGCGGTACAAGTTCCTCGAATACAACATGGCACACCAAAGACTGCTCCTAGTCTCTTCTCATAGAAGCTCTAGACCTAGGGTATTCTTCTGACTGACAATAAACAACTACCGTAGCAAGCAAAAGAACGGAACACATAATGATATATTTCTTGGCAAGTTGTCTACTCTTGGACTTATAATTCTTATATATGGCCGGGATTCAGTGTTGGCGGCTTTCGTGTACTGCTCGCCCACATGCCATGTCTGCTTCAAGTTAGATTACCGCAGTTGTAATGGCAATTCAGATAAGTCTAAGGAAGCACCACTAGGAATAAAACCCTTTGCTGTGTGAATGAATGATGAATAACAAAACTTTAAGCACTATTGCTGCATTCCAAACATGTATTTAATGAATCCCAAATTTGATTCCGAATCGATCCATCGTGCCTTCATCAATTATAAGTATAAGCCTTGTTTTGTGATGTAGACAACTTCCGCCGACTTAACCCCACGAACCCTACAACTCCCTTGCCACTTGGGTTCATATCTCCAATCATTCCAGGTACCTGATCCAGCACGCGTGCAGCGTTAGGAGAAACAAGGTCAATTCCATCCAGTTCGTGAACAGCGTCCCTCCACTCTGCACCCAACCGGAACATGGCGAAGCCGTCCAGAATCTCGCTCCAGCGCCGGCGGAAGAACGGAGGGTATAGCTGGGGCAAGACGGTGACGACGACCCAGAGACTCAGGAAAACCAACACGGCCTGGTACGGCACGATACCTGGCACCAGGTCATTGGCTGGCTCGAGCCCAAAGATACCTAATTCTGGCGATGTGTTGGCTCCTGAGTCACAGCACGTCCAGTTTCCAGGCCCGATGCCCATGACTGTAATAGCGACTTGTCCAAGAAGCTTGTACATGGCCAGGGTCATTCTTTCTGGCGAAATGGTAGGCAGTTGAAAATTCTTGGTAGTTTCGCTTAGGATGGGAACACCACGGGTGGCTGCGTTGGCAGCGGCCCAAGGGCTGCAAACGGTCGAGAAAATCTCATCACAGCTCGAATTTTGCAGATAACCCATATTAATATTGCCCATCGCAGCAAAGGCGAGCGATGTCATTGTTGTGACACCAGGAGATGCCACGATGAGACCCGGCACCCTTATGCCTCTCTCAGGAGTGGACGGCTGGGAGACAAAGTCGGAAAAGGTGTTGGTCGTGGCCGAGAGGGCAGCGTGGCCGACTTCTGACAGTGTCGAGCAGCTTACGGCAAAGCCAGCATAAGTCAGGTTGTCAGATGCGGTCGCGTTCACTACCATCGGGTGAGTAGCGAGATCTTTGAATGTCTGATCAGGGAAGTTTCCGTGCTTAAAGTCCCCCTGGCTGGTGTCATACGCTTGCCATATCACAACCTCCGCAACACGTGAATATGGAGGCTTGTTGGTGCTAGACGAATTGGCGATCCAATCTGAATAATCTAAACGTATCCCTTGAATGTCGTCGTTGGTTGCTAAGATATACTTGTAGTTCACTCCCAGTGTTTGACTAGAGCCAGTTGCCAAAGCGACCATTCCGTCTGTGCGGCTCGTGTTTGAGAGAAGCTTGCCTCCTTTAACGCTCCTATATGACCATTGGTCTATAGATGTCATGTTTAGCAACTTTAAGCCACTATATGGATGTACCGGAGTACAAGAGATTGTGGCTAGGAAGCCCCAGGCTCGACCATAGGCACGCTCGCTTGCCTGTGGGCCAGAAAAAATGGTGATGCTTTCATTCACTGGGTTGGATGTATTTTGGAGCAATGCCTGATAAACACCTTGAATGCTATCCTCAAAATAGGTATCGCTCACTTCTGGAGTACCATCAGGGGCATACAGAATTGAAGCGCCATCGGGTGTCGTAGTCCAGCCTCGTCGCCAGCTTCCGGCAATTTGCTCTGCTAATGCGTTTGCTGATCTGAGATCGAATGTAGTCTGGTTGACTCCCGTTATCTCGACGCGTCTGCTCCCATTCCTCAATGCGCTTTCTTGCTCTAGCGAGAGACCTGACAAAGGGATGGCGATATAAAGAAGCAGGCTGCTGAGTGCCAAGTGGAACCATAGAGCAGATGGGCCACTCCAGTCGGCTGGTTTCCCTTGCGTAGCCTTATGGAAGAGATAGCGGCTTGTTGCGATTACGGCCTTTGCCCAGCCAGTCAATGAGCCCCAAGCCCTGTCGGTATGCCACATGAGCTGTCGAGCATTCCTAGGAGCTATGGAAGGGTTCATAAGAGCGGCGGCTTCGTAACCGGCGATTCCCGACTTTGCCCAGTCGAGGATAAAAATATTGATAAGCCACCACGCATAGAAGACGATTTGTGAATCTATGGGCCGATTCGACATGATACCATTGACAGATGGTTTATTGAGGTAGAATCCGACGATGAACAGATAGAATGTCAGAATGAACATAGGGCCAAATATGTTCAGCAGCGTTCGTGGAATGTATCTCGAGAAGCAGTAGTGCTGCCTTTGAGGATTAGAGCTAACTAAAGGCTCTGAAATATGTTCGTTGGCATCATATTGGTCTGGATACGAAATAAAAGATTGCACGTCATTTGCTGTAAACAGTGAGTAAGTCGGTCATCATCGAAATAATTGCGCCGTTGTGCAACTGATATCAGTGGGTATTGAACATACAACTCTTTTGTGATTTTAGCGTAGTGCGAGACGGTAAGTTTCTGGGTATGAAGGCAGTATCTTCATATGCAGCGTTGTTCATGTCTGATTGAATTGATATATGAGCGTAGTTTCGATGCGAGTGGTTTATGGGCATCATATTGAAGTGAAGCCCTTCATCATGCTGAAACTGGTTGGAATTGGCTTTGAAGCGTGCCATTTTTGAGTGAGATTTCGTTTGCAGGCGAGAGCGTGCCCAAGAAACAAGCACTGACTGAGAATCCTCTATCTTTCTGGGGAGGGACGTGCTTTTATATTCTCCAAGATTGTGTAGAACCTTCTCCAGTTGGGCTCCGAGAAGATCATGTCGCGTTTAAGAACTAGGACAGACATGTTGGATTTCTCTGACTTGAGTTTAATCGGAGGTACCTCTGTAAAAGAAATAGCGAGGTGCTTCAATCTTATTTTTGGATGCATTAGGCCACCATTAAGGATTCAATTTGCCTCTTGGTGCGGGCTCGAGTGGATGCTGCTGCGATGTGGGTGTGTGAAATTGATTGGAAAGGAGTAGGAAAACCGTCGCTGCGAGCAAGATGGACGGGGAATTCATCATTTCTGGAAGGAGGTTACGGGCATGAAAATAAGCGCCCCTAGATGCGGCTGAAAGGCTGAAGTGCACGATTACATTGGCTGTTGAACGGGCTGCTGACGGTAGGAACGTTGGAATCGGAGTTGGATTTTCAACGCTGAAAATAGACCCGGACGAGAAAGTACGTAGACGACACAGTCTTGTGTCTATCCGAATATTCCTCTTCTTTTATGTATATTAATTTTGACCCTCTACGTCTCCTAAAGTTCAATGCAGTATCATAAAACACTTATGTGTCGCTGCAGCATTACGGACGAAGTGGCAAAAGAGCCATCCACCGAACCTAGCCATTCATCCCGCTCCAGGATCGCGTCAACAAGGCTGTGGAAGCGCCCAGTTGAAGGGGGTGGGGGAGCATATGAGGCAATACGACCGTCAGCAGTCATCCGTCCATTTGCGAATTATAGATGGCGGTAGTGCCTTTAAGACAACCTTCAATTATGCGTGTCTTGTCTGGATGCCATCTGAGCCAGAGTGGGACGAGGCTGGGCATGATCTCCCAATGCCTCCCGGAACATGCATCCTCGCCCTCCTTCAATCCGCGCGGCGCTTCGACTGTGGCCATGGCAAAACGCCCCAAAGGTAGCACATGCCGTAAATCTACATATGAAGGATCTGGGAGCTAGATGTCAGACGTAGGCCAGAGTCAAGTTTTCAAGTTATCATGGAGTCACCATCGGCCAAGAAGACATTGGTGATTTTACTGCAGAATAAACGCACAAGAAAGGAGACAAGTAAATCCACTCGCAAGTAAATAAATGACAGCATATATCATGATTTATGAATGGCTCAAGGGAAAATTGACTCCAACTTGGAAGGGTTTTGTGTCAAGATATCTCCTCTGGCTGCCCAAGGATCCCAGGTCCCGCAACATGGCCTAGATTGAGACCAACATATATCATGAGACCAACATGCAGAATAATGTGGTCTTGCTGGAAGATTGAGGCTGCCTTTCTTCCTGGCGCAGACAGCGACGAATATATACCCTAAACACTGCAAATACAATTGTCCGTCAAATAAAGCAGGGAGTAGCAAAGGCCATACCCCAGGAGTGACATATCTTGATATTCTACCAAGTTTTTCTGCGTCAAATTCCATTCGATACAGATTTCTCGGGTCTTTCCTTGAAGGAATCCAGACATGCCTGGCTGTGAATATTCAAGTAGTACATGTTGATGACATTAACCAGCGTCTTAGCAAGTGGCGATGAGCGTACTCTGATGGCTATCTAATGTGGCGATTGAGAAAAAAAACTGGCAGTCCCGTATGATGGTGTAGATAGTTCGCGTCCCTGCTAGGGGTTTCTTCACGCGCTTTTTTACCGAACTCCCTGTAGACGGCTCTGGCGCCTCTCCCTAGTACATTGAATACAAAAGAGATAGGGATCATGTCCGCAAATCTAGGCTGATTTGAGGAGCTCAAGTGTAGCAAGTGGCCATGTTCGGGACACAGCTTTCTCGAACCCCTTCTTCTCTCTTTGGTACAGCTCGCTGGGGAGATTTCTCATTTCCACAATCGGGGAGGATAAGGTCCGGACACTCCTTCAGGAAAGTAACATGTGAAGTTGACTGACGAGTTGTACTGTCCAGCTAACCCTCATCGGCGTGGTGCAGGCTTATCACCGAGTTTGTTGTTGTCACGGCATACTTACTGGTGGACGGCCTTTGGACAAGTTGAGGATGAGAAGACCCAAACTCTATTTTCCGGCAGCCCTGAACACTCAGCCTATTTCTATTTTGCTCAATTTCTAAAATGATATGTCGCTTCATTATGACAAGTGGTACCTCAACACTGGCTTTGGTGTGGCCACCGCTGCTGTGATGACCAGGATGAACCACCCAGAAAACGTAAAAATTTCCCATGGGCACAGAACATTGGCCCATGAGATGATAATATGTCTAATAAAACGTACGATCTATACTTTTGTTTTCCTTTGCTGAATGGGTGGGCGAGACCATCATGAGCATGGAGGCCAAGAGGGCTGGCTGAAAGGACTCGTCCCGAAGGTCGCCACAGGCCAACCCGCCAGGCTATTTCCCTAATCAGGCTCTTCTGGACTAGTGGCTAAATCTTCTATTTGTGGAAGGATAAATTACTGAAGAGGGAAATAGTTATGCTTTGGTATTAGGCGTCACCATCCTAAATTTCCTAGACTTGTTCTCCCGTGGAGGTGGGTGTGGGGGAATTTGAGGGAGTCGCTTGATAGATAGTGCCAACCCCTCTTGGAGTGGCTGTTGCAAAACTTATTGGCTTAATTATACAGTTGAATGCTGCCCAACCCCTCAGATACCACTCTGCTCGCGAAAGCTATCCGAAAATTCGACCGAGACCTGCATTCCTGAGGTGTCTCCAAAAGCCGCCCATCCATCACGACGATGTTCGATGATACTGTCGCTATCAACATCTTCAATTAGAATTGAGTAGCATAGGAAAGAGTTGACTACTACCTCGGTGAGCGCGATGAGCTGGCTTGCAAGGGTGCATGGTTGGTCGAACGGCTCGGTTCGTGCGAGGCTAGAGCAAGATGCCTGCTCTTGTTGTCTCCTGTACCTAGGAACTAGAGGTTCCGAGTAGACTTCGCTTGGAGACAGGCCCGGAGAAGTTAGGAAAGGATGGCCGACGGTCCACCTCACCACGTCAGGGAGGGCAGCTGGACGCCATGGCCTCACATGAAACAGACAATTTCGTGATGCATTGGCACGATCGTCGACTCCCAACACACACTCTGGCCGAAAAGTATCCTATCAGTACATAGGGTGTCTTGCCAACACGCTTCTTGGCAAAGGTTGTGTGCATTCGAAAGATGGTACATGCACGAGGCTCTGGCAATGTGACGATGCTGGTATTGGCCAGTCTGGACCCAACTAGTGGCCACCCTGCTCTCAGCCCAAGCAGAAGAGAACACTACTGTGGTCATCAATCCCCATATGCCGCTATCTTTCCCAAAGAGTCCAGCTGCGTCATGGCGACCCAGAATGTCGAGCAAATCCGCTGGCGTGCCGGCTCTGGTTGGTTGTGGAGGATCGCGGGCATTAAGCAACAACACGACTGCATCCGAGTCGGATACCGGTAAGAGGGGCCTTCCAGGGTACCTCCATCAATAGCAAGGGAGAGGTGAGAGGCTCAATGCCGAACTATTCCCCAGCTGAAAAGTGGCCATGCCTGCCTGCATGGGGGAGCATTGAAGGCAAAAGTTTTTGCTGCATGATACTCAGCTGGGCGGTTAGATGTGATCATTACCTGCGAGGTGAGGTGGGGATCCAAGCCCCCCATTGATGGACATTTGCTAGAGCCGCCGGAGCCACTCATTTGCCATCAGAATGATGTTTGTCCTGTCAAACGAGATGCCAACAAGGGCCAGCCATGTAACTCGCGGCGCGGGAGCCGTGGAGGAGAAAGGTGACGTTGGCCCGGTGGGGGGCTAGTGGCGGCCCGCGTGAGGGCGCCATCCATAGGCCGAGATGATATTAGAAGTAGGCGAGACTCATTCAATCCATGAATCAAGGCAGATCTCGAATTGAGTTGGCCTACCCCACACGGCCAAGGAGACGTAGCCCGGTACCTCTGGGGGCATGGGTTTCGGCTGCTCACGGGCTTGTCGCTCTACCTCTGCACACGGGGCATACGTGTATTTGCTGCCATCTCGAAATTGACGAGAGATGCACGGGTGCTGCCCTGCCACCATTGGGTACCTAAATGTTCGCTTTCACATGGATCCCGCATCCTCGCGAAGCCATTGGAAGCCAATGCATGAGTCCTGGCTACCTACCTTTGGTCCGGACGAGACACAACCTCACATTGGAGGGTGACATAGCAGACTTGTATGCTTGAATTATGCTCAAAAAACGCAGCAATGAGGCAAGCTGTATGCCAGCTGGCGCCAGATAACGAACTGTTGCTACATTCCGGGTTTTTTTCTGCGACTCCGTGCCTGCCTTTCTCAGGAGATGATCCCAGGTAAGGAGGAAAACCCTTGGGGAGAACCCTTGGGTCAACCCCAGAGGTGTAGCCTTGACGACGAAGCATGGGGATAGGGAAGGTATCACTCCCGCTCGGTCAGCCCGTAGCTACAAGCGAGCGAGTGAGTGAAGACTTGGATATTTTTCAACTGAAACATGCCTGCCTGCCTCCGCACGCAGGCAAGAGACAAGGCAAGCTGGCAGGAGCCGGGTCGGCAAGATGCCCGTCGATTGCGCACCCGGTTACATTTTGGAGGGAGTAGGGACTTCGATCCTGGTTTCCGCTACGCACCGCACAAGCTTGCGCCTGCACTAGTAGCAGACTCGCAGTTTCTGCATGCAGCAGAGCAGGTAGGAGGTGGTATTGGTATCTACGCTGCAACTTGCCCCCCACACGAAGGAGAGAGACGACAACCAACACCAACCAGCCGCAAGTATACACCACACACACGATAGGGATCCGCGACATTGCCAGCGGGCTCGACACGTTCAGTTCTAGTGTTTCCTTTCCTTTCTTTTTTCTGCCAATCTTGCTCCGCGCAACCGTATTCCACCTTACTCTTCCGGGCGGTGCCCCAGGATCTCTGCCACCCCATTTTTGACTTGCATGTCCCGGCTGGCACATCCATCTGGGAAGGCCTCGTGTGATCTCTTAGCCGGCGTGGACAAGGGCGTCGGATGTCAACTCCTGCTCCCACAACAATCGCCCTCACCTCTGCTCGTTTGGGCAATGGTGATCGGCCTCCCTAGATCTGGTGGAGGGACCATCACATTCGGGCCCAGGCCAATCATGGCAGATAGGCCTTGGCGAGCGTGAAGGCAACGTCTGCGAGGTGCGGCCTCCCTCCCAGTCTTCAGTTCCTGCATGCGATAGCTAGTGGCTGACTGAGTGTCCTCCGTGATCAGCGTTTGGTTGGACAATTGGACCCATGTCATCTCTTCTCTCGTCTGGCAATCTGTCGACCGAGCAAACTCCTCAAACCTGGCTTACCGAGACCCTCCGCAATGCAGCAAAGTGGAGGTGGTAGAAATGATGTTGCCTGGGGCAATCCGCCGTGCGCAGCGAATGCCCCGAAGCTCATTGGCATTCGAGCAAGCGCTCCGGGCACATCACTAGGCCCAATATGCATACATGCTGCGGTGCAGCAGACGAGTGGCTTGGATATCACGCCAACCAGGCAAGCCAGGTGAAGCAATTGGTGGCAGAAATCCTTGGACAATCAGCACTGGGCGGTTCCATTTCTCGGCACGGACTAATAGTAGGGCATCGCATCTGTGGAGCCCTCGGTCACGAATGGCGCTAACCGGCCCTGCTGTTGAGTCTTGACCCTCTTGACCAGGCGAGGCAGCTCCATATTAGCTGCTACAGCTCTGCTCCTAGGACGACAATGTCTGTGCTATGTATAGAGGGAGTGATGCTAGCAGCTTACTCGAGGTTTGAGCTACCACTGGCTGGCCCACAAGGCGCCTATGTTTTGCCTCACATGCCCTCGCCAGATTCGCTAGTAGTTGCGAGACCAACCAGTGCGGCCGTTGCTGCTGCTCCGGCCTGGATCGTCGGCCTGTACGCGCCGGCCACGACGAGCAGTTCCTGACGGCCCAACCCGGACGTCGACCAGCAGACGGCAATACTCGACTGCAGGCGCCCACACTAGACTCGGCGTTAGGCATACCTAGCGAAGTCTCTCGAGTGTACACCATCGACTGGGGGGGCGATGAGGGGGGGATGGGAGGAGTAGGCACATCCCGCCACCCACACGCCCCTCCCCCCAGGAGCTACTTGTGAATACCTCGAACCCATGATTGCAAGCACGTACGATGGTCTCGCTACCTACATGCCCTCAGGCCTACCTAGCTACATATTCCCCTCCCACCAAACATGCATACAGACGTGCTAGCTCCTGGGCAAGTGTGTATGTATGCGGTCGTTTCTCTCCACTTCATCGCAGTGCATCCACAATCCACAATCACACACTATGTGCTTTAATACGGACTGGGTAAGTGTAGGCAGAGTTGCAGCCCTTTGGTGGGCGTCTAGGGAGCAGCCAGTATTTGCGCAGAGGTTCCCTGTACCCTGATCGACCCTGGCACGGTCCCACCTCGGACAAGATCAATCTCGACGTGCTGCGTGCATTACCTACACGGCACTGCAGACGGGCTCGACAAAATCTCTGATACTGAGACTCCCTCCGAGTACACGCTCTTGTCTCTACTACAACGTTGGAGGCTCCATCTCGGCTCCCCGCCCATGCATGACATTTGACATGGACCATCTCAAGTCCGCAGGAAAAGACTCCGATCTGGCCTAGGCAGTCCACCACCCTAGCCCACATACTCACCCGCAACATGTTCCGCGTTACTTAAAACTTAACCACTCCCCTCTCCGGCCTGCTTCTTGATTTATATATCTTCTGCTCATGCCTCCGTCTTCCCCGTGTGCTTGTTTCTTCATTGCAATGGGCGCATCTGGGTGAAGTCATAACCTACTCTCCTCATCCTGTACTATTACCTGGGCCGTTCGTTTCCTGTCCTTTTCTCTTTTCACCCCATCCTGCTCTCGGTTGTCTGTTCTGGCCTCGTCACAGGGCCCTCTAGCGTCCTTTCCACTCGTACCTCAGATCCAAGTACCAGAAGATCCTGAGCTCTCATCTCACCTTCTGCTCACCTTTTTCTCACTTGCCCGGCCACCTACCTCTTCTCATATTTAATGAACTCGCACCGGTTCACGACGTAACGAAATTCCTTCTCCTTTACCTTCACAAGTGCTGAAAATCACACTTGTGAATTCCACCTCCACGGCGAGAGATTCATTGCTTCAAGAAAGCAATCGGAGAACACCCTTCTCTGCTCCTCGATAGATGACCCATTGTCACCAATGAGTTTTGTTTGAAACAGCATCACCGTCTATCTACCCAAGAAATCCCTGAACCTGCAGAGCAAAATCAGCACCCTTCCTCCAACTTTGTCTATCATGGACTCGCTACAATGGCTCCTGCCCTCTAGCGACTTTTGGCACTCAACCACGTTTTGGGTCTACCTCTTCTGGGCCGTCTGGCAAGTTTCATCCTCATCTATAGCCTCCCACGTCTTACAAAGTCACATCTTCTAATACCATACTAGGATCCATCGCTACTTTCGTCTCATCGTCCATTGCATCAGCCATTGGACCTACAAGTCAAAGCCGATTCCGGCTAAACCCACCTTCACCAGCAAGGATGTCACAGTGGTGATTCCCACCATCCATAATGTGTTTGAGGAGCTCCGGCCCTCACTGGAGAGCATTCTTGCCTGCGACCCCTTTGAGATGATCCTTGTAACCACAGATGAGAAGCGGCAGGACCTTGAAGTCCTGGTTAACTCCATGGCTAGATCCAACATCCGAGTCCTCTCTACACCTATTGCCAACAAGCGACTCCAGGTCTGCGAGGCTCTTCCCAAGGTCAACACCCCCCTCACCATCATGGCAGACGACGATGTCACTTGGCCTTCTACCCTGATGCCTTGGATCCTGGCCCCCTTCGAAGACCCCAAGATTGGCGGCGTCGGAACCTGCCAACGAGTACGCCGTGAATGGGATGCTCCTTGGTCGACCCAGATCTGGAACTGGCTTGGCGCAGCCTACATTGAGCGACGCAACTTTGAAATCTCGGCAACGCACAACATCGACGGCGGCACTTCTTGCATGTCTGGACGCACTGGGGCCTATCGGTCAGAGATTCTTCGAAGCCACGAGTTCCTCCATGGTTTTAGGAATGAGAAATGGAGAACCTGGATTCTGAACGCCGACGATGACAACTTCGTCACCCGCTGGCTGGTGAGCCACCAGTGGAAGACTTGGATCCAATACAACCGGGAGTGCGAGATTGAAACCACCCTTGAGAACGGGGTCAAGTTTCTGTACCAATGCTCCAGATGGGCCCGGAGCAACTGGCGGAGCAACTGGACGAGCATGGTCCGCGAGAGATACATCTGGAAGTAAGTTGGACCCACTTATATTGGGGTGCAACAACCCACACGAAGCCATCATAACTAACCCAGCAAATAGACAGCAGCCATGGTGCACCTACGCTCTCCACCTTGCAACCTTCACTTCGCTAGCCTTCATCTCGGATCCCCTGCTGCTTGTGTCTTGCTGGTATGCCACAGCCAATTGGGACCTGCAGAACCGCCAATATGCATTCTGGGCCCAATTCGTCTTCATGTTTGCTTTCACCAAGGTGGTGAAGCTGATGGGGCTTTTCATCAGAAACCCCAGCGACATCATCTTCTGGCCCGTGTCGGTTGTCTTCGGCTATTTCCATGGCCTCATCAAGCTCTATGCTCTGGTCACTCTTAATATGGTAAGCTCCCTTCTCTTTCCCCGCACATGCTCGGCACGTTTACTAACAGAGGCGTAGACATCCTGGGGCAGCCGTGAGGACGGTGACACCAACGACGACAAGCGTATGGCACCCCCGCCACAGCAATCCATTGTATTGAAGACCCCTCCTGGAACAACCTCGCTTGTGCGCTACAACATTCGCCAGAAGGGACGGCAGACGTTGCGTGAAGCGAAGGGTGGCGAACAGGAGAAGGAGAAGCATTATGCTGCTTACGACTCGGGGACATCTTACATCCCCCACAGAATTCTGGAGAAGCCATGAATCTGTCCCGCGTGACTTGTCTATCTTAGGCAAATTTCCACGATAGGAAGGGGACGCTAGAGGTTAAACAGAACTTCACATTGGCTCTCCTCTAATCTTGTTTTTCCTTTTTTTCCTTTGTTTTTTTTTCTTTACTTGACGACGATATGACCAAAGGATTTTCAAAGTTCGTCCCGTTGGAACGGGACACTTTTTTCACCATCTAGCCAATTAATGGAAATTGATGCAAAGATGGTGGTGTTTCATTAGGAGAAACTGCCTGTATCACATGAGCTTTTGGAGGGTTACAGGCACAGTTTAGGAAGATATTCCGGTTGGGGGGAAATTAGAGTCTACAACGAGTTCTTGGAGAAGCCTGTAGAGAGGTGATCCGAGAACGGACTGGAGGTTCAAAAAGTTAATGATTTCATGGATGGATGGATGGAATGAAGGAAACAACGGTATGGAACAAGGATAGGCGTTAGGGTCTACGATAATGAAAATAGGCAGGGCTGCCGATCACTACATGAGCACCTGTGCCCGACGACGTCAGATAACCAGGGTTCGAAATCTACCGTGACATTAAGCAGGCAGTTGTTGGGTGGCTTTGGGTAACGTTGGGATCTCGATGCTGCGAGTACTTGTCACACGAGCATCCGGCAGACACCAGATCCACCTTGCTGGGATGTGTATTTCCTAATCGGTTATCCTGAAGAAACCCCATTCCTCGATGCGTTGTCATTGAGGGCAACGACCTCTATGGCCGGTCGTTTCGAAACCACTCTTAAACTTTGCACAGGCATATGGCCACATGCAATCCAGACCAATGGGGCCATTGTCTTGCATTGGTGGCATGCTCAGGACGATGAAACTCCGGGTTGCTTCGTAACACCGGCTCTCGACATTCCGGTCCTCCTACGTCACTTGGTTCAGGTTCTCCGGCGACTATCTCTCGATGGCTTAAGGGTTCAGGTTGACTGCAGCAGTCCCGGCCAGGGACCCCCCTCGACGGTGGAACCCAAGGTAAGCGGCCTAGTCGACCTAGGGGATGGCTTAGTATGCGGCTCGAACGAGTTAGCAGTGGCTCCAGGACAACCTGCTAGTGCTATGTAAGTGTGAAGATAGTGGGGAGCCGATTTCTGGGTCACGGAGGCTTCTGGTTGGATGGGATGCATGTATGTTTCTTGAGTTGAAGAGGGGGGCCTTTGAAGAGGAAGGACTCCACCCCGATGGATGGCATCAAGCGAACCCCGCATATGTTCAAGGAGCTGTTTGTTGTTCTGGCCCGTTGGCATGCTTGCATTTTCCCACAGGACGAAAACCACGTATACATCGTAGGTGGGTAATAGTTTCTGGGCGGTTGGCTGTCGGTGGTGCCATTGAAATGCATGGGGATGGATGGGGGAAGAAAGAAGGAGGGCCAACGAAAGGAAAGGGAAGGGGCGTTTCGTTGGTTGGGGAAGTTGGCAATCGGGATGATGCTATCGCCCCAGGGTGGTAACCGTGGA